TTTTGTCCTACAGCCAAGTAATAGCTCTGAACTATCCCTCACCTTTGAATGCTCTTACAGGGCAACTTGAGCTCCAAAGTCTTCCAACCAATTACTACAACTAATGGTTTTCCTGCCCAACTCTACAAGCATTACTCTCCAATGTCCTACTACTGGTTTAAGAAAACAGAAATCATTATTTAAGCATCACAGTCAGATTTTTGGGACAAGTTTAGGTCACTTTTTATGATACTTATGAAACACAGTCAGGAGAGCAATACCCACGTGCCCCTTATCCTACTTACCCAAGTCACCACTTGTAGATCTGCCAAATATATTCTTAACTACCACAGGGAAAGAATATTTAGCTAAATATATCAACAAAGTATCAACACACGTCATTCCCTTTAACAACTTTAAGGTAATCTATTGGATCAGAATGCTGCTGATGATTCAGATTTTTCATTATTAAAACCTGATGACCCACAATATCAGTCTAGAAAATAAGGAAATCCCTTTTGCAAAATCAGCAGTCATGCTTCCACTGGTTTTGATCACAGTTGGTTGAGGCTCTTTGGCCTAATACTGTGGGATAATAAAGTTGAAGAGGTTGCCAATCACTGGTACCGTGTACTATAGCAATAGGGGCCACCTGTGAATAATTTTTCAACTAATATATACCGTCGATCTCATCACTGATGCAAAGAACACAGGCACCAGAGTTTATAACTGGTTTTACACTTACTACATGACCCAGTCAGACCATGTGATGTCCCAAATTAACAACCATAACATGATACGAACAGGCTTTTTTACTGGGAGGTCTAAAAATCCTCTCCTTTTCGCCCTGAGCACCTAAAGTCTACTGAAGGCAAATAAACAGCCACCTCCATTCCCACAGATCTGCAAGTCAGTCAAGCTGCTGTTTAAGTTATTGCCAATGGGGGTTGTACTGTAAAAAAGCAAGGAGTTTTGTAAATTCCTACAAATAATATTCACTAGACTTGTTAAATCTAGTGTCCATTCCTGCACACAGTACAGCTCAAAACAGTAATTTGAGCAGTTGTCTGGAAAGGTTCATTACACAGCTATGGTGGCTGCAGCAAGAAGCAGCAAAGTGTGATGGAGAACTTCGATGACCCATAGTGGAATTCTGTATATACTAAAAGTAGCAGAACAACAACAACAGACATAAAACAAGGCTTTTCTGTTTGTGTCCCATTAGTGGCTCTGTCATTAGCTCACTGCATGATCTCAGACAACTTGCTTATCTCTAACTTTTTTTCCCATACACCTTCCAAGACCATTATACTTCCCTGCATACAGTGAGATAGGCTTAATACTTTTTAAGGTACTTTTCTCTGAAAATGTATCCTTAGATGACTTGCAAAAACTCAGTGTCTGTGCCTTTGCCTCTGTTCCAGCCAAGGAGCAGTTTATGGGAAAGCAAAAGGAGCTTCTTATATCACCACAGACAGCTGCAGGATTGCAGTGTTTCTGTTTCCCTGGTTTATTTATTTATTTTTTAAAAAGCAAATAAATCTAGAAAGCCAATATATATCCATGAACATACATATGAAATTATGACATATCCTTTAGGCAGAGCCTACATCTTACTGTGCATTAAGGCCTCATGTCTGGCATTACAGTCTCAGTACAACCACAACTGTGATATACATTTGCAACAAGTTTTGCTGCAAAAATGAACATTTAAATTTATTTTGCAATTCTGATTAGAAGATGAACCACAAAACCCTGGACTTTTAAAGACATCCACTTATGTGGGCAAAGGGAGTTGGTCCAGGTAGAAAATTATATAGAATGATGCACTTGACAACAGTTTGATCTAGACACAGAGCTGGGTGGGTTGGTTTTTTTTTGGGTTTTTTTTTTTTGTTTGGTTGGTTGTTGTGTGGTGTTTTGTTTTTTTTTTTTAAAAAAAAACCAGCCTGATATGTTTGTCTTATGGGTGTTTATACTATGTGTGCCAAAGAAGTTTGTGACTGCAGAACCACTGCTCAGCTCTCTGCCTTGCCATCCTATAAAATCAAGCCTAGATTTTATTTAGCCCAAGCTAACTCATTAGTTCTCTGAAAGAGAGAACAGTAGAAAGAACATCATAACCTTTTACTGATCAGAAGTTTGATATGCTTTTGAGTTCCCCTTTCTAGGTTAACAAGCCAAACTCATACAGTTTTTCTGCATAAGTCATGCTTTCTAAACATCTTGTTAGATGCTTTATCTTTCTTGGAATGCGATACCCATAGTACTTGCACAGAGAAGTAAATTACTTCCTGTATCTTACCACACATAATACACCACAAAAAGTCACAGCCTAGTTTGTGATCCACTGCAAACCTCTACCAAATGTACAATGTAACAGTCAACCACCATAGGAAGTACATGCACGATAATCACTACACAGCTCTGTAATTCAAAAGCTTGGCCTGTCTTTAAGCCACCAGATCTATTCCAGCCCTCTTTTGTTTATTTCTCATTACTCTAATACAGCTCTGCTATCATGAAATCATGCTCTTTCTGCTAAAAATATCTTTCAGAAAAAATCTTCATCACACAAATGACCAAAACCTACTTGCTTATTCAATGAGAAAGTTGGTATACATCTGCCAAATTAAAATGAAAATGCATCATTTAATCTGAAAAAAAACTGTGTCGAATTTGTGTAGCTCAATCCTTTATTTTCTTTAAAATGCGTGAGAAGTGATGCAATGATGAACATTCATAAAAACCTACAGTACCAGAAAACTTCTAAGTAAGGTATATGATTCAGAAGGGAAACAAAGACACAATGCAGCTGGGCAGTTTTTGCTACAGCTACTTGCATGGCCTTCCCTTTCATTAAAGATGTCAAAGAACAGTTCTGAAGAACCTGAAATGGTAACAGCAGATCCAGAAAGATCTTTTGAATTAAGCTACAGTGGGATGAGGTGGGGAGGAAGAGTTTATTCTTCCTACTTCCACTATCCTTTACCTTTCTCCTTGTAAAAAAGCAAACAGGAATCAACTTTCCTACTCAGACCACTATCAGTCCAATTGGGATATGGATTAGAGATATAAATGTGTGAACTATCCACATAAAACATCTCACATCTGAATCCAAATTACACTTTTTAATCAATAATTGTTTTGTCCAAAGCAGCCTGAAATATTCCAAGATACATTATCATTCCAATAATGTTTTATATGCTAGTACTTTCTAATTGAAATACGAAGATGGTCTATTTTTAAAAGTATAGGTATCTAGAAGGAAATTAATACTTAGTGCTTTGTTCTATTTCTGCAAATCTGAAACCCTGAAGGAAAGAAATCTGAATCTACAAATGTATGCTACATTTCACATTTATTCTTCCACGTTTTAAAAGAAGAAAGGTTGTGGGGGTTTTGGAAGCTATACTCTTTTTCGGATTTTCTATTTCTGGACACTTAGGCATTGCTTGTCAGATTAGGTCTACAGAGATATAAAATGAGTTTATAATTTTTATCTGTATTGTTGTTCTTATATTCTATTCCTCCTGCAAAGCAGGTGCATCTTCTGCTCAGCATGTCATGCATTTTTCTCTTGGGAGAGTGGGTGGTTCTCAGGAAAACAAAAACTATTAAGCTGTATAAAAGAAACAAATCCAGCATAAAAAACCCTAGCAAAATGTAATGCTGCACTCTGCTACAACAATCTCCTTTCTTCTCCTGACACTTCTGTCAAGTTCGTGACAATGTCTAACATTCTTCCTCAAGTTACAATAGTATTTCCTCAACCTAGCTGAACATTTTAGGAAGGAAGGCAGCTTTTAACCCTCCAGTATTCAGCTCAGATTTTGAGTCTGGTATTCAATAATCAATTAAAAAAAAATCAAAATAGGTAGCAGCTAATTTTAATTCCACTACAATTTTCATGGCCTCAGAAGAAGGTTTAGCAACCTGAAAAAGCCTACACACAAAGGGATCTCATGACACAGGAGTATTATGCATCCAAAAATCAAATACAAATTAAATGAAGAAAGATGTATTCATATTGTACAAACTGGCATTTCACCTATAAAAGACATCTGTCACTTAGATATGGCACAACCCTCAGCATAATAGGGAGAGCATTACTAAGTGTTGTAGAGCAAGTTGGAAGCTCAGAGAGAGGACAGAAAGGGACAGGGATTTCAAGGGGACTTGTTATTTCATTAACACCATTCCTCTATGGAAACTGCAGAATTCAGGCTCCAAAAAGGTTTCCTAGAACAGTGCAAAAACCACAACCAGTGTTTCCACCAAAACGTGTTTCATGCCGTCTTCAGTTGGGGAAGGTAACCAAAAACCTGCATATTCAATATTAACATCCAGTCATGTGTTTTCTCCACTAGTAATTCCTCATCTTCACAGAAGCACTTGATTCCTTCTTGAGAAAAACTTTAAAAAGTGGTGGCAGACCTATAATGGGCAGATGAGCAGTGGCCCTTCCCCTTTGCTACAGGGCAACCAGCAGGTTTGAGACATTCTTAACACTCACCGAAGGCCAGATTTTCAGCAGAGCTTAGGTATCTCATTCAAGCATCACTAAGCCTGTGCACTGGCTAATCAAGAGAAACAGAGAAAAGAAAAGAGAGAGGCTTTAACTACCTTTGTTCTGTACCATTTTCTTTAGGACTGGCTTTGAAGTCAAAAACCTTGTGAAACCCTTTTCAACTCCACTGTGACAAGAGCTGCAGCTGTGAGACCCCTCACTTCCACCTTTTGCTCTCTGCATCACTGCTCTCTCCATATTCCTACCCATGTGCAGAATTCATTAGCCCCTTTACCTTCCATCACAGCACTTAAAATGAGCGAGTCTTCCAAAGGATTCAACAACTAAGAGCTTCTGTGCAGGGAGAGAAAAAAAAAAAAAAAAAAATCAAGCATTTAGCTTTTCACTTCCTTTGGAGCTGTGGCCTTCAGCACTTCTCGGTAAGACTTTTAAAGCAAAGAACAAAAAAGATAAATGTTTCTTACTTCCCCCTTCTCCTTGTGTCTTGCAGCCCATGGGATCAGAGCGGATGGAGATGCGCAAACGGCAGATGTCTATGACCCAGGAGACCCCAGGCACTGCACAGACTCAGCACGGCACAGGAAATCGAGGTTCCAATGCCTGCTGCTTTTGTTGGTGCTGTTGCTGCAGCTGCTCGTGGTAACCCCTCTTATTCTAGTCTCTGGGGAACAGAGTAGCAGGGGAGGGAGGCAGTAACCTGTGTACAGGACAGCATAAGCCAAACAGACCACCTGGGTAATTCTGCAAATCTGTGACTGAGATGACTGTGCTCTAGTACAGGACACAACCTTCTACTCCATTTATTCTTTTTCCTGCCACTGAAATAACAGACTTTTTTTTTTAAAAAAAAAAATCTCTGTACAGTATCTCTGTTAAACTTTTCTTGTCAATACTGTGTAATGAAGGTCTGTGTTGTGCTGGACTTGTTCTCCTCAGCCTTGACCTTCACCAGCACTTCCACTAAAAACTGAAAGCAATACCAGAATGTCACAGCTCTAGATTTAAGGCTGGGACTTAACAAGCTGCACAGACTGTGTTAAATGGAGTTCAGAGAAGGTGGAAGAATTTGTAGACAGAAAATGAATGACGAGGTCCACAGAAGTGTTCTTTTGTTTTGAAGGCAAGTGGATCAGTAGTCATTAGTGTTGCCATCTCATGGCACCTGCAACTCAGATGAAGTTAATCCTTAGGATCACAGACTTTAAACATTGTGGGTAATTTGCTGAAGATGAGGAGTTAAGCAAAACATAATTCAGAAGAACTCCCATTACAAGGTGTTAAGGGGGAAAAAAGTTATCAGGGGAGCAAAGCAAAACAGGAAGAGGAGTCAGTCAATTCCTTAATGGGTTCACCTTTCTCTCTCTTACCAGCTCCTCCAAATCCAAGTGACTTAATTGAAAACTGAAGTAAAGCTTCCCATACTCAAAAGACCTGTATCTGTTTGGGGACAACTGTTAATTAACGGGCAAGACCAGAACTTAAATATTTCAATGAAAAAAAGCCTTAAACAGCCATAGGACTTCAACCAAAACACTGATAGCAAGCTGAGTGCTTCTTATAAATGCACTATGCACCACAAATACTTCAGAGAAAGCAAACCTGGCACTGAGGTGAACGGAGCAACTCAAATAACCTTACAGCCCAGGCTAGGAATCTATTCCACCATTATTTTTTTTGCAACGGCAATTGGTAGCAAATGCTTTGAAGAACACACTGGAAGGCAAGGGAAGAGCTTCTGCTTTTGGTATTCAGCTCTTCAGAAGCCAATTCTGCCCTCCCTAATGTAAATAGTGAATAATTTGAAAGGACAAAACGCGCTTGGAGTTTTCTTGCAAGTTGGCAAGAACTCTGGCTCTGATCCTAGCAAGCTTTTCAGCTGGTGCTTAGAGGTAAACTAAGGTAGAGTACTGTGCCTGTACAGGATCAGTTTACTACCTTGCAGAATGGCATCTCTATTAAAGCATCCCATAGAGCTTCCAGTGTCATCTGAACAGTTGTCCAGTGCAATCAAAATTGGCTCGGTCTAGAGCTGCATTACACAAACACGTATCTTTCCATAAAAAGAAAAAATAAGGCATATTTATCTACTACGTTAGATACATAAAATATCTTTAGAATTGTTGATAAAAGTACTTTTTTTGTCATTTTACCTGTTATTTTTCAGGATGCTCATCTTCTGTGCACCTTGCTATTCAAACAATTCAAAGAAAGCACTTTACTCAAGGGTGTGTGAAACTACCCAAATTTCATGATGCTTGAAATTCCTATTTGCACTTCAGAATCATCTGGGAAACCAGTATAGGCTCCAAAACAGAGCAGCTTGTTTTAGCTTTAAAATAATTTCTGATTTTTTTTTGAGAACAATTGTTTTCTAGTAGCAAGAAATGCAAAACAAGCCATAATTAAGCTATTTATATTCCCTGTTCATAGAGCCTTTCCTCAAAATAGCTCAAGTACTTTGAAGAGAAAAATTATGACTAGGAATAAAAATAACAGTCTACATGAGTCATGCGGCTGAGTTGTTGAACATCTAATATTCAACATACACTTAATAGTAGATTTAGAATGAAGACACGGTGAAATTAGTCTCTCAGCTCAATACTCAAGAGCTTGTGTTCATTCCTAAAGCCACACCCAAGCCTCCAGCCTGTTACTCTTCAGGATCCTGAGATGCAGTGTTGCACTGGTGTCTTTTTTCTTTACCTGTACATTTCTAGGGAAAGCGCTTGCATGCAAGTCATTTTCTGAAGCATGACATGTTCTCTTGAGGAAGCTTTTGTTACTTCTTTTGTCTTTTTTGTCCTTTTGTGCATTTATCTTATGAAGACTGCAATCCTTCCTGTCAGATTGGTTGGTTCCCCTCAATTCAGTAACTCCTCTAACAAGCATTTCACTTCTTGTCTGTGCATAAGGAATAGATAATCTATCACTGTTCATATTTTAAAAAGGCCGGAATCACTGAAAAAAAAGGGTAGTAAAGGATTGAGACCTATACACACCAAAAGAACAGAGAACTAACATTAACTACTTCCCCCCCCCCCCCCCCCCCCCCCCCCCCCCCAAAAAAAAGTGTGTGTAGTATCTGCTCTCAATCTTAGCAATAGGAAAGCTTTCCTACCTCTTCAATGCATGGACTGCCTTGGCAAAGAGAAAAGCAGGTCTCTGCAGATTATGGACTAACACTAGAGAAAGCAAAAGGAGGAGATAACCAGTAAATAGTAAGGCTGCAAATAACACAAAGCCATGAGTTTAGAAGGCAAAAGGGAGAGAAAAATCAACTGATTTAACAAAAAGTCTTACTAGAGATAAATGAGATTCTTAACAATTAAGGCAATTAAACTGTTATAACATTAGCATTAAAGAAATTTAAGATAGAAATTAAGAAATTAAGTTTTTTATTTTCCTAGAAGTTATAACTGCATTGCTTTATTTCAGCTGGAGAACCCATTTCATATAAATTACAGGTTGTAATTCACCAGGAGCTTTTCTTCTTGAGAAATTTTAAGCAGCCTTACCAATGACATGAACGCGTATTTGTATGCATGTGCATTTCTCACTACACTACAATAGCCTAGGAACTGGAACAGTCCCCACTCCCTAAAAAGAAATATGTATATTCTCAAACCCAGTCTCAAATGAAAAAGAATCATGTGCAACTACAGAAGGAATTTTAAAAAAATAGTTATTTAAACTAACATTTGATGAAAGCGGCAGAAGTTTATAGCTACCCCTCTGTGGGACATGAAAATACTCTGTGATCACTAGTGATTGCAGCAAACATTTTTCTGCAATGCTACAAACAAACTAATACTCATTTCTAGTCAGACATAATGAAAATGATATTCAGCAACAATATATCTGCTCTTTGTGTGCCAGACCTCACATTCTGAAGCACATACTTTAAGTTGCAATCAATTACCACACAATCTGGCTATATCCACATTTGAAATCTGAAAGATGCTTACACTTCCAACATCACATACAGAAGTGTCTAGCTTGCTTAAAACCTGTGGTCCAGCTTCTGAACTGTGGCTTTCTTGTAACATGGTATCACCATTCTAAACCAGTATTGGCCCTCATTGTACCTTATGGATATAAAAAATAGCCAAGGAGGAAAAAAACCCCAGAAACCAACCTTGAACTCTAACCCACATAAAACCTGCATCTAGTGAACCTCAGTAAAAACACTGCATCAAGCATACACATTATAATAAGCATCGATGGAGAAAAGATTCAGTATGTGATAAAGGGTACTCATGCATATATATATATATATATATATATATATACACACACACACACACACACACACTCATGTATACTATATATAGGGAGTTGGACTCAATGATCTTTATGGGTCCCTTCCAACTCAATATATTCTATAAATCTATAGTTCCTGTATAGAAAATTTGTGATACAATACTAATCATTCATCTACATTAAAGTTTACCAGGTAAAACTGATGTCAGAGTATAATTATGGTTAATGTGACTACTTGTTAACTTGTCCTATCAGTCAATTTATTTTTTAATATTGGAGGAAAAGCAACTAGTGTATGTTCAGCCTTTTCCTCTATGAAGCCGACTAAAATTCTGTTTGCTACCTTGTAGTCTTACAGTTAGAAATCAAGAGGAGGAGAGAGCAAGAAGAACATCTCACGAACTCCAAGCAGAGAGTATTCCAAACTGTGAGGAAAGGTATGGTCTTTACCAAGTGTACTGTCAAGCTAAAATGAAGAAAACCCAAACCATACTAAATCAAGTGCATTACTTGAAATATGTAAATAACCATTATCTATTTGTCATTTATGCTGAACTTGCAGTCCTCTGTCTCTTTATCTTCTAAGGAGCCAAAGGTCTCATCTGTAATCTTTTACCTTATTTATACGCAGCATCTAACCACATTCCCCACTTTCATAACATGGCAGATCAAAACCAGCATTGTAAACACAATCTCCCTTTTTTCTGAACTAGTTTTTAAATACATCCTGTTCCCAGCCAGCAACTACATAATGAAGATAAGTGTCAGTGCTCAGCCTCACAAAAATAATAAAGAGAGCTCAGATCCTCCCAAGAGGCAGGCAACTGTCTCTTCAGAATTGGTCAAACAGGTAGGAGCACCTGCAAAACTGTAGTAGACAGGAGGGTGGGTACCTTTTATAAGGTTTGAATCATTGCTTCTTTCTACATATTTTCATTCAATTTTTAACAACAATTCAACAAGGACTATTAGATATAAAAAAATGCTTAGCTGTTGCAGAGGGACTTCTCTGTTGCAATTACTTTGAGCAGTAAACTGCAATTTCTGCATCAAAGTACTGGCAAACATCTGCATCAGAGCTTTTGATAAGCACACTTTTAAAACACATCTTATAAATACGTTTATTAGAGTTTGCATTTGGGTAGTTCTGGTGAGAAATTAAGAGCCCCATGAATCTTGCAATTTTGTTCCATCATGATGGCAGATGCCTCCAGTCAGCTGCGAAGAGTAACATTCATTCATTTCTCTCTTGTCCTCTCGTCCTTCCTCAAGCCCTGCCCCTACTCTTGAAGAAGTAAACGCCTGGGCTCAATCATTTGACAAGTTGATGCTTACTCCAGCTGGCAGAAATGCTTTTCGTGAATTTCTACGAACAGAATTCAGCGAGGAAAACATGCTTTTCTGGATGGCCTGTGAGGAACTAAAACAAGAATCCAACAAAAGTGTCATTGAAGAAAAAGCAAGACTGATTTATGAAGATTATATTTCTATCCTTTCTCCAAAAGAGGTATATTACTTTTCCCAGTTCATTATTCAGTGTTGCTCTCCACAGTTAGAACTAACATGCATTTAAAGCTTCAACAATACCCAGGGAAAACTTTTTTCTCCCCACATTCCACTGCCAACAAGTAGAGATTTAGGGGAAAAAGGCCCCACCCATCACTGAGGTGAGATAGTCAAAACTAGCTGTAAGAAAGCTCTTCCTATGCTACGCTGGCATGCTCGTGTAAAATCTTTAGTTCAAGGCGCAAATATACAGATGATCACTTATCCTGGCTCAACTTAAAATATACTTATTGGACAAATCAGTTTCTTTTTCCTTTGCACTAGGAAGGTGGTGTGTGCATCTCTCCAAAAGCACAGTAACCACAAATAAAGTGTTTGTGCTTGCAATACAAGTTGCTCAAAGATCAGCAGAAAAATATGGCATAGAACACACTGACTTCCTGAAAGTTCTCAGAACTACCTATCACTTTGCTGTTAGAAAATATGTCAAGTTTCGAAGACACCTCAGTTCAGTTTGAGTATAAACCTGGCAAGCAGGCTAGAATTTTAAACCTTCCAATATCCTTGCAAAACTCAATTGTTTGCAGTGCAAGCTATACTTTCGTGCTTATAAAAATGCTGTTTAAATCTAAGCAGTCTATCCTAGTAATAATGATACCATTCTACAGAGACTAGAGTCTTGCAGGAAAAAAAAGACATTACTTGTATGTCGTATGAAATCATTATATAGCCGTACCTGTGGTTCATATCAATTCACTCTGCTTTTTAACAGGAATTTGATTAATCACCAGCTTCCCAGGTTACGGTTTTCATCTGTGCCACATTGTTTACTCTCAATTCAGTCTCTTTACAACAGTGCTAACTCCCAAGGAAACAAACTGTCACAAAAAAATTAAAAGTCTTCTACTACAGAGCAGGAAGTTGGTCTGGAAATAGTCTGCCGGTCTCTCAGGTTTCGGCAGTAATGGGATTGCAGGCAGTCTTGGTCAAAGTAAGGTTGCCTCAGTGAGAACATTTCTCTATCCATACTCAAGAGATTACTACTTTCAAATACCACAGTCATTTTTTGCCTATTTAATTTTTACACTCTTGAAGAACACCATCTGAAATGGTTAAAAAGACTGCTTTTTCAACCAATAAAATCAACCTGAAAATCCCCATATACTATTAACCACTATTATTTATCTGACTTTCTGTTTTAATATGCAGGTCAGTCTGGACTCCAGAGTAAGAGAAGTTATTAACAGAAATATGCTGGAACCCTCGCAACACACCTTTGATGACGCACAGCTTCAAATTTATACCTTAATGCACAGAGACTCCTACCCACGGTTTATGAACTCTGCTATTTATAAGGACTTGCTTCGGTCCTTATCTGAAAAATCCACCGAAGCATAGAATTTTTTCTTAAATGTATTTATTTTGAAACAAACTGAACTCTGGGCTACACCAATCCACAGGGCATATAGAATTAATCAGATATTTACCTGAAAATAACTCAGGCAAGTTTTACTACAGACTGAATGATTTGAACCTGCACAAGGCTCTGACACAATCATCTAACTACAGTTTCTGATCAAATTCAGTGTTACTTTGCAAAAGAGAATGAAGAGAAAACATTGCTGTTCAAAAAAGGGAGTATTTTTTCAAATGATGCAAGTTACAATGTATGTCTGAGATACAAATACCAACTGAGCATGAAAACTATATTTTATTTTCAGGTGGAATGTTAGAATTTTCTTGGAAACCAAACCAGTTGCCCCACCCACACTGTGACTCAAGTAAAAACAGTACTGTCAATACCTGGGTTACACTAGACAAAGTTTCACATACTGTACCTGGCACAGGTACACTCCACTTGTCTTGGTATATTTAATGCATATATGGTGTGCTAATGGAAACTGGTATGGCAATCTCAAGTTTATGAAAGCTAATGGTTGAAATAATCCTGCCTATAAAAATCTTTTGCTGAAGAATCGTTATTTTACTACTGGAGTCTGCTGAAAGCATTTTTAAGTTCATACGGTTCATGTTTATAAAAGTTAAATTATTTACTTAAGACGACGAAGAGTCTGGGCATTTAAATTCCAAAATAAAGCACAAGAGTTCTCACATAGTCTTCTCTTCCCTCAGTAGTAAGATTGCTCCTGAGAGGACAGCAGTATCAACCATCTTGGTTTTATACATATTAAACTCTCCCATTACCTGACAGATCTTGTAAGGTTTCTATTACAGATATGCACACATTTGACACAGATACAGAACTATTTTAGACTGCCCAAAAGAAAAGCAACAGCTCTATCCACTAATAAACCACGTTCATTTATGGTATCCTCAAAGCATTACACTTGATTTCTGGTCATACCTCAAAATCAGTAATCACAGGAAGTGTAGGAAGAAAGTACATTGAATCTGCATCGTCTATGTGTAGATCTGTTATTCTAATAACTTATTTAAATAAGATTCACTACAATTCCACTATATTAAACTTCAGAGTTTATAGTGGACTACTACTGAATTGTACTTTTTCCTGCACATTTATTTAAATGAACCAAATGAGACATATAGGTAGGAAAAGGAGATCTAAGGAACAGGGGAAAAAATACTTTAGAAGGGAAGAACCAGACAGGCATAGATCAGTGACATCTACTGTAGCCTTTCTAAAACCTACTCTTCACTTAATTTCAGCACTATGAAATGCACAAAATGGGGACTTTCTCTGAAAAAAGGAAATGGGAATAACAAGGCAGAATTTAGGAGACCAATTAAATTGTTTCCTTGGTGCACTCAGCAAGACACATGTTCTCCCCTTACTTGTTACTAAACAAACAATGAGATTTTTCATTACACAGCACCACAGGAGATGACCTGATACACAGTAAGTTAACAATAGATATGGACCAGTTTCATAGAATCATAGATTGGTTTGGGTTGGAAGGCACCTTAGAGATCATCTAGTCCCAACCCCCCTGCCATGGGCAGGGACACCTTCCACTAGACCAGGTTGCTCACAGCCCCATCCAGCCTGGCCTTGAACACTGCCAGGGAGGGGGCAGCCACAACCTCTATGGGCAACCTGTTCTACCTAGTGTCTCACCACCCTCACAGTAAAGAATTTCTTCCTAACATCTAACCTAAATCTACCCTCTTTCCATTTACAGAATCACAGAATCATTCAGGTTGGAAAAGACCCTTGGGATCATTGACTCCAACCATCAGCCTCACTCTACAAAGTTCTCCCCTACACCATATCCCCCAACATCTCATCTAAACGACCCTTAAACACATCCAGGGATGGTGACTCCACCACCTCCCTGGGCAGCCTATTCCACTGTCTGACCACTCTTTCTGTGAAAATTTTTTTTCCTACTGTCCAGTCTGAACCTCCCCTGTTGTGGAGTTAAAGCCATTCCTCCTTGTTCTATCACTAATTACCTGTGAGAAGGCACCAGCACCAACCTCTCTACAATGTCCTTTCAGGTAGCTGTAGAGAGTGATGAGGTCTCCCCTCAGCCTTCTCTTCATCAAACTGAACAGTCCCAGCTCCTTCAATCGCTCCTCATAAGATCTGTTCTCCAGGCCCTTCACCAGCTTCGTTACCCTCCTCTGCCCTTGCTCCAGCACCTTGATATCTCTCTCGTATTGAGGTGCCCAAAACTGGACAGAGTTCTCAAGGTGTGGCCTCACCAGGTTTAAAACCATTACCCCTCGTCCTATCACTACACTCCCTGATGAAAAGTCCCTCCCCATCTTTCCTGTGGCCCCCTTTAAGTACCGGAAAGCCACTATAAGGTCTCCCCAGAGCCTTCTCTTCTCCAGGCTGAACAACCCCAACTCTCTCAGCCTGTCCTCATAAGGAAGGTGCTCCAGCTCCCTGATCATCACCCACTTGTATTTCTATCATCTTCTAAAACCAAAATACTATTCTACACATCAGCACAAAAAGTAAACGAAAAAGTGAGAGAGACAGCGAATCAAAATGCTTCTGCCCTCTGTAGCATAACACTGGATGACTAAGTTAAGAGGAAGCTCTTCTATATATGACTACTTAAGACGGCCCAGTTAGTGGTCACCACTGCTTAATGTACCAATATTGGTTATCTCAGCTGATTTTCCAGAAAAAAATACCTAAAGCACTAAAGATACAGTTTCAGTTTATATAAAATATTACGTGATAGGTAGTAACTGCAACAAAACAAACTAGATATCAGTAAGGCAGCATTCCTGAGGAGCTTGCAGTAAGACTGATAATGCTGTACTTGCTTTAAACAGGGTAGGTAAGAGTGCTCTAAAACTCTCATTTGACAAAATAAGTTTAAATAGGTCAAATTCAGCTTACTGGTAAGATCAGACACACATCCAAAACAGATCAAAGTGTGTTATTTCATTAAATGGAGGATTTAATTTCTTTCAAGTTAACTTTCTTCCCTGCAAAGATACCTCATTAAGAGCTGGAAGAGAGACCAAACACTTGTATTTTATATCAAATATATTCTAGTTTTCTGCAAGAAATAGATGCAATGAAATTAGAGGGGAGAGTAAGCTATATTGGTTGAGGCAGTTCTATGGTTAACATTAGTTTATTACAAGAGGAAAATAATAATTTCTAAGCTTATTTTCGATGTACCACAACTTCTAAGCAAGTAAAATTCTCTAAGCAATTTTCATTTCACTTCTGCATTACAATATGCTGACGTTTGAATGCCTATCTTTCCTGAAAAGTGTTAACAAATTTTAATGCTGTGTTTTAGGTTTAAGCTTACACCCAACATCAATGGCAGAATGCTGGTCCCTAAATACCCTGACAGTATGTCTTAAAAAACCCAAACAACCAACCCACTCCCCTAAATATCCTGTTATTTTGAGGCTGTTTAATATAGGATTTCATTGAGGTGGGGGGGGAACAAAAACCCATCTGCACAGAAGACAGGTTTTTAAGTACATTTCATTACTGTATATTTACTCATAATGCAACTTTTTTCAGGACAAAACTGAGTTGCACTGAAAAGCAGAAGTTACTATAGACAAGCTATTACATGAATAGCAGGAGAAAAATCATATTGACACAAGACATTATTTATAATTCATCAAATAAGAAATTATCACAAAATCAATTTATCCTAGCTTGAAAATAAGTATAATTGGTTTGTCTTGGCATTTATCTAACTGCAGGATATCATTAAGCTTTAACAACTTTCCAGTCCACTGGTATTCTATATTCAATGTCTGCACTTCAAACACCAGTAACTCCTACAGAACATGCATACTGTTAAAGACTGCTCTTTTCACCAGCCTGCCAAGCATTATTAAAATTGCATGGGCTCCTTCAGCCAACATATTGTGTTTTACACTGACCTTTAAATTACAAAGTCATTAGCACAATACAAACAAAGATTTAAAAATTTCATATATATCCTGAAGGGCTCTACTGTATAAAAATAGATTATCACACAATCATGTATGTATGTGCTTAATGATTACAAAGGCTATCTGAAAAAGAAAAGTGATGAGAAAGACTATCACAATGTGAAGTAATCTTTAAACAAGTTTGCTCTGAACAGTACTTAAGAACACATCTTCTGAAATAATACTGATCCCTTTCATGGCAATGATATTAACAAAAGATTTTCTATACTAACATTGCAACTAAATTCATCCCAAGCCTTTTAAAAGGGTAAAACAATTCAAGATTAGTGATGATGTAGTGAAACAGAGTTGTATGAAATTGTAAAGCAGTGAAACTCCTCAGGTTTATTTATGCAAATGACTACTAATTACCTATTTCAAAAGGCAGGAGTTTGAAAGGCAATACAACCACTTTTTGCAGAATGAATGCTTCATGTTGATGGATTTAAGTTCCACCTCAGCTGGTATGGGTTGTAGGTTTCAATTTAAAGTTCACATACATGACCACAAGTGGAATCCCTAACGATAAAAACCAGGCACTTCCTTTGCAATGCTTGTAAAGTGCTATAGGGATTCAAAGGGGAATTCACAAAAGCCAGGATCACTGAGCAGATACTTACCTTCTTAGTCAAAAGAATCATTAAGTACAAGATTTTTAAAAACCACACTTTCTCCTGAGCAAGTTAACAGAATTATATATGAGGATAATACCTTCTAATGAAGGATCCAGATGCAGTGTTTTCTGAGCAGCTGAAACCCCTAGCTTTCCTTACAGAAGAAAGGTGGCATCCTTAAAGATCTACACACACTCTTACTTTCTCTACTACATTAGTGTAAAAACTACCTTAAGTTGCAGTGCAACTATGTTCCAGTCTCTCTTTTGTCAAAGACGATTCAAATATCCATCAAGGTTATAAACAAACCTGCTGTTCCCGGATAGGAGAAATTCATCACCAGTTCTACTGGCATCTTTCACTGCATAAAATATCCAAACGCACTGGGTCAGCTGTAGCACACCTGCTGCTCAGCTGGTGAAATGAGAATCAGTCTCAGCCTTGCCTTTACATCCTTCACCCATACATCCTTCAGACTTTACATCCTCTCACAGTGGAAGGCAATTTCAGACAACTGGGAAAGCACCTGTTGAACAGAGATGCATTCAAAGCTTACTGATGGGCAGTTTTATTTTTGGATAGCCAAAAGCATGAACAGTATTCTTTTCTAGATCTAGTTCTTGGACTTCATCTTTCAGTGCAAGAAAGAAACTGGGCTTTTTAACCTCAGGGACAGAAAAGAGAAGGGGTAAAAGCTATTGCTAGGCCATCAGGTAACGTGAGGTGAAAACAGTGTTTTATTTGCACTCCTAGTTGGATACACCTACATCACAAAGCACTACCTCAGTTCTAGTTCTTTAAATAAAGTCCAGATAAACTTCAGGAGGTATGGAAAGATGATTGCTGTGTTTTCTGAAAAGGTAATTCTCCTAACTGTCACACTGGGCTTAAAGACTAAAGGACATATAGCATAAGGAAGGTAATGCAAAACAACCTGTGCCTGCCCTGTATATATACTGTGAACAGCATGGGAGATTTAGGTCTACTTGGCATCCGATCTGAAATAATTTTTAACACAATTTTCTGGACTTGTTCCTTTAGAAAGCTCCCCAAACAAAGTGCTGTAATTGATATTTAACGTCTGTCATTGGTTTGTTGCTGCCTTAAACAACTTGGAAAAAAAAAATCTTAAAAAGCAATCCTGCCAAAGGACCTACACACAGACTAAAAATAAGCCTATTCTGTTAGTAGAAAAAAAATGTTTTCTCAATCAATGCATTAATATCTAATAAACTGAGTTAAAAATATTTTTATATGAAGTTATGCAAGAAATTAAATGCCAAACAATCTCCTTCATAAAAAAATGTTTGCATCTAAACTTCTATTTTAATTATTTTTCCTTTCAGCAGAGGAGCCACTTTTCCTTCCTTGCACAAGCTGACTGGAAATGCTTGCTATATAAAGAATTTACCAAACACTTCTCATCTTGCAAAGCTCAAGTGTCATCATACTACTTCCAACTCATTTGTTTGATTGCTGCCATCACACAAAAAATATTTAACATAAAAAATAATGTTTTTCCCTTTACGGCCAAAGAATTATTTCTCCAAAACACACAGGTACTCTTCCCATTCCCCCCATGAATCCTTTATACACTGCCAGGATAGACCTTCTCAGCACCAGGCTTTGATAAATTAAATAACAACTTAGATATAATGAAAGAATTTAATCTCTTCTAAAGATGTTAACATGTTTTTCCTTGAAGGTGCATTTGAAAATACTTCCAAACATGTGCACTGTTAAAAAGCAGGCTCTAACAAAGCAGTATTTCTTTCTATCATCCCACATATGGAAAAGACCATAACTTCAGTAATTTATTTTCACCTGCAGGACTATGATTGACATCTGATACTCAACATCTCAAAACTCAGTTCATGAACAAAATTGATGCAATTTATATGAAGTGAATTTAGTATTAACTCCCCAGCCAGTTTATACTGTGATAAAGTGGTTGGCTGGTGTTATTAGGACAGCCAGTGCCTTTGCTTATGTACAAAGTCTAAACCAAACCTGGTTGTCAAGCTCGTTAAGTGAAACTGAACACTCAAATCAGATTTAACCAACTATTTGAAGACATTCCTAGAAATAATACCTACTGATAGAATGTAAAATACATGCTCTGGGCAATAAAATATATTGCACTGATGAAAGCTGTTTACATAACAAAACTTAGCCAACCATTGCAAAAGAGGTCATCATATCCACTAATAAATTTCCAAGCTCTGTGACCACAAATATAGTCCTAATTCAGAAGCAGTACATACAAACTAGAGAGTTAACTAAATTGTGCTTTAGTTAACAACTGTTTAATGTAATCAGATGAAGTTACATACCTTTTCTCTTTGCAAAACTAGAGAACACAGCAGCAAAAACCAAAATTCCATTCTTACAACTGAACAAATGTGGAGAGATAAAATACATATCGGAGGAGCGTGTATGTTTCAGACCGCAAAAAATAGGAGTACATTACTCACATAGTTAGAAAAAACCAAGCCAATTACCAAAATGTTTAATTGGTAAAAGTTTAATGTAACTTACTTATAAAAATGAAAAAATATTTTAACATTCACCATACAACTGAGCAACCTGGCCCTACCGACTATCAGCTATAGGAAGCCATTTAAGGAAATGATGGTTGTGTCAAAACAAAAGCTAACTTCAGGCATGTATGCAGCTTTAAAAAAAAAACAAAACAAAACAAAAACAAAAAACACAAATAAAAAACAAAACCCCAAAATCCTCTCATTTGCAGAAAGCTAGATGCTTAGCCTAGTTTTTTAAAGCTAATTACAAAATCCTCTTTCATACTGGTCCAGATGTCTTGACAATTTCTTCTTCTAACAGAACTGTCAAAAGAAAAGAATTTTTATGAGATCTTCACACAGCTTATTTCTAAATCTTTGCAAGAAGAAACAGAAATACAACACCATACTCAGGATATGGAAATGACTAGTAGAAGCATTTGCCTATATCATAACCATTCCTTCACTCAAGCATCTTTATACGGACACTTGTAACCACCACCTTACAGAAGGTTTCAAGGACAAATAAACTTTTCCCAGTACTGCATCAAACAATTTCTAAGCTTTATAAAGTATTTAGATACCTTGGAGTATAGATTTGAAAAATATCCAGTAATAAGACACATAAAACAAGATGCATAAAATACTTTCATGTAGTAATCTTAAGGTATGCCGTGCACATGGTTCTGCAGAGCAGCATTCTTCATGCAGAAAAATAACGGAATGAGGATATCATGCTTCATATTGCATGCTATCACATGTTAACCTGTAAATTTTACAGGCCATTTCAGTGTTTCTCCACTTCACTGGACTACTGGTATTCCTCAGAAGCTTTTACAATTCCCATTTCCTGAACTTAAAAAAAAAAATTTAAATTAAGCGATCAATGCCCTACACTTATCCTGACAAAGGAATATGGCAGCAGTCATTGCTTCATACCCTCTTTTCAGAGTAGCAAAAAAAAATGGAAAGAAAAAAAAAAGGTCCAAAAAGGCCTATTCCATCAAACCAGTGATTAAAAAGTTAGAATATCTTTGGGTCAAGAAAGGGAAAAACACAGTGACTAACTTACCACTACTTTGTATGGCAAAGCAGCATTGTAACTATATGTTACAGGACTAAGTCAATATCCTGACTTCTCTCCCCCTTTGCCACTGCCCTTCTTGTGTGATCTCATACCTTCAATCAAAAATACTTTTCTAACCAAAAGCTATTCTGCAATATCAACATGTAATATTATTTGTCATTTACTGTAAACCAAAATTAAGCACAGAGCCTAGCTGTCTGCTATCAAATATGCAGAGCAGTCTAACAGTCTTACCTTCCATCTGTTTCCACATTCATTACAGACAACAAATGTTGTCATGGGTTCATCAGCACTGCGGGTTTGAACCTTTGGCAAAGGCAAGAGCCAGAACAGAAGAGGAAAATTAGTATCTTCAACTTTTGTTAGTATGTGCTCAATGCAAAGGTTTAAAATTAAAGTTTAACATTATGGAAACATATTTGGATAAAAATACACATTAACTTTCCGTAACAGTTGAAATTATTTTTTTGTCTAGACTGTAAAGTGATCATAAACCTGTGTTTTGACAGATTTAGCAGCATTGAAATATCAATTTCGGCACAGAAACTGTGCACATACTTCTAGGAAAAGGTTCTGCAGTAAATCTACACATTCAATACAGTTTTACATATATTTACTGATGGAAAGGCTTAAAAGTCTCATGATTGAAAAATAGCTATTTACTTAAAGAATCTGATATATAGTATTAAATTACAAATGCAGCTGATCCTATGACGAAAATTAAATGCCTTGAAGCACTGCTAAACAAATTAAAGCCCTTCTTGCACTTATTTCCTAATTAAAACAGAAAAAGGTTGTGGGAATGATTGTAAATTAGGGTCTATTGATAGTCAAATGGTAGATTTTATATATATATGCATATATTTATTATATGGATGTATCGTTATCTTCTGTTATTTGTTCCCTCTGTAAATATGTTTACACACCTTAAAAACAGTAAATGTCAACATTTACTAAAAACAGTATGTCAAGTTCTCCTTGACATAAAATCATATTAATGTAAGATGTAAGAGGAATCAGCAAAAACTCAGCATTACAAAGAAACTGACATTTTAGGCTATATAGCTACTCAGCTTAGATTTACCTAAAAATCTCTGGTAAATTAATACAACAAACAATCTTTACATAAGCTCACCTAAGTAGCTCCAACTATCTTCACATATTTTGTAATTTGTTAGCATTTTGTTAACAGTTCATTTTGTAACTAAAACTTCCTCTGACAATCTTTATATAGGAATTCAGCTTTGAAAAAGGAAAACTAAGAGTCTGAATAACCACATACCTGTGTATATGTACAGTTCTTCTTTTTGCACTTGCCGCATGTAAACAGATCAGTTTGGGTACCTCCTGTTTTAGCCATCTGGTGCTCTCTGATAGCTTCTTTGGTCAGATTTTTGCGCATTTCTTTCAGCTCATCACTTGCCATTTCCTGTTATGGATAACAGCAGAGTTTACTAAGGAGTTTTAAACAAGTCATTACCACTGTGCAAGCATACCATTTTTTATTTAGAATCCATGAACAACAACTCTATTGAAGGGCAAAGTAATTCTTTCTACACATTTTCAATTTTACAAGATTTAAGTTGGGATATTTCACAGCACAGAAGCTACAAAAAGTTTAGAATGCTGGGGCTTTTTATGCAGTGGAAAAAAAATCAGTAAAAGTTACACAATATCAAACACATAGAAACATTTTTATGCAGAGACAAGATAGAGAAAAAGAGAGGAGGAAAAAGATCCTTTCCCTAGGTTAGATCCTTCAATAATCATCTTATTGACCTATTATATAAGATTATTATAGGGATAATTTACATTATTTTGACTATTTCCATATTTGTACTGAGAAATACAGTATAGCCGTCATTTACCATATGTTACCAGAAATCGTATACAGTTAGTTGCAAAACACTAACTGAAGAGCTCAGGTTCACCAATTTTCTTCTTTAAAACAGTTCTAGTGTGAAGGATCTCCACAATGTAATCAAGTGTACACAGCAAAAACAAGTGGTTCCATTTTTCTTCAATAAAATTTTACTCCAGGTACCATGTAGATGTGGAATGCAAATCTTGTATTAATACGGTTTCACTTAGAAGTAACTTTAAAACTGAGGGGTGTTTTAGCCATTAAAATTTGAATCCACGAGAAAAAACAGGCACTGGACAACGTAAAACATATGTCTGTGCATATGTACATACACACATGTAGAACTAAAAACCTCACAGTATGTACTGAAGAGACAATTGACTATTCTTTACACATTCCTTTATGAGCATGTTTGCCCTAACCTTTAGGTAAAGCTATAGAAAACAAAAAACAAAACCCTCTTTCCTTTAGAATAAAGCTAATCATGATTTTCATTATTTGATCATGAATTTAATTCCTTTCTATCTCCAAGATACTCCTGTATACCTGAAAGGGGGGGGG